TATAATGAGGAAAAAATGCCCACTACTCCCGCTTAATATTTTGTTTTTCATGAAAATTTAGTAGGACAATTTTGCCCTCTGGAACTTTCATAGTTACCCTTGTTGTTATGATTATGTAGGAGTATATTGGTCTTTATACTTATCAATTCTTACAATTCCAAACTCAGCCAAACAATAGAATCAATATTTTCAATATTTTTTTTTCACCAATCAAATAATGTAATTAATCTTTCTGATAATTTTTTTATATAAAATTTTAATTTTATCCGTAAATATTTTTCGCGAACCAAACGGACTGAGAATGTGTATATGTATATGTGTACGTATAGAAAATTCAAGATGAATGCTACTTTTCAAAGGGGCTTTGACTTGTAGTCTAAAAGTGGTTGCCAACTGTTTGGTAATTAATGTGGTTTAATTAATATTGACATAAAATAGTTGAGAATGAACAATCATTTCTCAATTATTTGACAAATCTAATCTTAGATATATCATCATATATCATGGGATAAGCAACGTTCAATTTCCCGAAAATCAGTGTTGTTTGTATTCGCCCACGTCGCATCATGCATTTGTCTCCAAAGATATTTATCAAATTTCCTTTGTTTATCAACTTGATGAATTGAAACACATCTACAATAATTTGCATAATATAATGCACCTAATAAATTATTTATTCCCAAACAATTCATTGTACATATATAGGGTGATATTTTATTTTTATTTAATTTGGAATACAATTCTTGTAATATACTATCAATTATTAAATATACAAATTTTGATTGGTTAATTTCTGTTCGAAAAAATTGAACCCATTTTCAATTGAATTCTTTTACATTCATCATCTTTATGACTACTATACTTGGAACATTTGTTACCGGTGAATCAACAAAGGAGAAGGTAACATGTGGGCTGCCTTCTCACTGAGAAGGCGATCATTATTGGGTCGTCTTCTCCGGTGAGAAGACGACCCAGATAGTCGCCTATCCCGGGGAGAAGGCACCACTTGGGGTCACCTTCTCCAATGAGAAGGCAACCCTCTGTTGATTCACCAGCGACCATTCTACAATTGCCGATCACTTTATTACCCAGAAATATCATCAGAGTTGACCGTAATGTTGACTGGAACCCTAGTGACCTGTGGTCACTAGCCAGTTTTTGAATTTCATTGCACCAAAATACAATGTTGATGAGTTTAATTGTATTAGGAAAAAAAAAGAAATATTATTATGTAGAATGCACCAAATTAGAAATACAAAAGGGGGGAGAAGAAGTTTCAAATCATCGAACCAAACTAGGAGTCTGAGGCTTTAGTTAGAGTATGAGCCACCAGATTTGCCGACCTTCTAATGTGACGAATAAAAATATTATCATCAATGGACTGAATTAAAGATATACCACCCTTCAAAATTACCCCAATATGAGAGGAATCATCAATTTTATTATCTACTCCCAAATAGATAGTTAAGCAATCAAATTCTAGAATGGCATTGAATTGCCTATACCCTACTCTTGCAATCCAGAGACTGCCTCCTTGCATGCCAGAATTTCTACCAAATTCAGATATTGAATATTGTTAAGAAGTCCACTCTTTGCCGAGACAAAACCCCATGATCATTCATATACTTCATAATTAGAAAAATTAAAATTTTCTATAAACATTTGAAGAAATCTCAGAAGAAGCAAGTATAATAGCAAAAAGTGGATATTGATGAATAATAGAGATTGAAATTGTGGGGCATTATTCTTATACTTGTGAAGTGATTACTGATTAATCAACGGGACAATAATTGGGACATAGGAGAGATATTCTTTTTCTAAAAGGTTGAAATCTCTAATCTCAAGGGTCCCCACACTCCGACTTGACAAAGTATCTGGGGGATGTAGATCATGGTGACTCAATAATTTAGCAAGTCAACTGCCGGTACGTACAAGGGATCTGTCAACTTTGGGCAATCTCCACACTGTCATGCCGCTGCCAATTAAGGTTCGAATCTTGGTCTCTTCTCCCAAATACTGTCTACTGAACCAGTGAGCTTAGCCCGTGCAGACATAGGAGAGATATTTTTTGCTTGACGCATGGGTTAGAACCCGACCAAACCTATAATAAAGAGTTCTACTATATGCACTCTCAAATTCTACTCACTTTTACTTCTTGATATGACAAACAATAATAGGGGGAAAATGACACTTTTTCCCCCTGAGTTATATACTTATAGCACTTTCCCCCCCTCAATTATTTAGGTAAGCACATTAGCCCCTTCAATTATTCTAAAAGTGGTGGTTTTTCCCCCTAATATATTAAATTGACATTTATACCCTTAAAATAAACATTTTATTTATTGTATTCTCCAACAAATTATTGCGTATACGTAGGGATGACCACGATTCGTTTCGAACTGAATCGGACACTATAGCAATCGAATTAAAAGTTTCCGGTTATGATTCAGATCTAGAACCCAATATTTGAATTTCAATTTATTAAAATTATGAATCAAAAAAATTGGATCCTGAACCGTGAACCGGCGGTTCTGGACCCGATTCGCGATTTTGAACCGTTTTTATTTTAAAATTTTATTTTTATTTTAAAAATAGTCTAAATTCAACAATAAATGTATTTTATTTTTTCAGTTCGGAACATGAACCGTCCGTTCCGGAATTTTAATAAACTCTAAATATCGAGTTTCGATTCTAAATTGTAATTGAAATATTTCGGTTTGGTTGCTATAGTGTTTATTTGGTTTGAACCAAATTATGGTCATAATTTGTTGAAGAAGAAAAATAAATAAAATATTTATTTTAAGGGTAAATATGTCCATTTAACATTTTAGGGGGAAAAACAGCCACTTGAATAATTGAGGGGGGAAAATTGCTATAAGTATATAACTCAGGGGGAAAAAGTGTCATTTTCCCCAATAATAGGTTATTTTTCATCATGAAAAATGTCCACATGGTATTTTTATATAACAAATAATTGACAATTTATATCGTGCACCACGGTGCACATAGCAATGTGCGCCCAGGCACAAAACGTGCGCGTTTCAATTGTTGACGTCACTACGTCCGTCCAAGTGGCCAAAACCCCATTATGTGTATTCAGTTAAACGTTTCTCTGTATTGTATTATGAGTTTCTGTGTATTCAGTTAAAAATTTCTATGTATTCAGTTAAGAGTTTCTGTGTATTGTGTATAATGTAGATTATGTGTATTTAGTTATGAGTTTCTTTATATTCTGTTATGAGTTTATGTGTATTCAAAACAAAGAATTTTTTTAGACAATACACCAAAACAACATCATTTTAAGAGGCGGGTCAATGTGTGCCCTGGTGCACGATATATCGATTGCAAATAGTTCTTTGGCTTTGCTACAATGCAAAGCACACGTTGGATTAACACTTAACGGAGTAGACGTTGGATTACCGACATTCAAGCCAAACTAATTCAACTTTTTGTCAATTTCACCGCACTAACAGCCTCAAAAGTCAGCTAAAGTCGGCTGTTTTGCCTGTCTGCGCTCAAACTATCCAAATAGGTCATTGCGAGATTATTATTATTTTTTAAGTTTAAATGATATAATTTTCACCTCTCAAATCCATCCATCCATCCATAAATTAAATAATATATTTTTATCCATTATTTATTACTAAAAATAATAATTTCTTTTTAGAAAAATGAAAATTTTAGTGTTTTATTATACCCATATTATAGATTCAATATTTGAATTATTACTCTATCCACATTTCACATATTTTTTCTCCTTTCATCTAACGAATCTAGTGACACCAAGTTGCTCTTCCATATGGGAATATATTGACTCTCTGTGTTTTAGTAGGTTGAGAAAATAGTTATGAATAGATACTACATTGTAACAGAGTCTGGTTGGCGTAAAGTGCACCACAACGCCCAACTAAGCACGTTAATGAAGCTTTTTATTATTATTATTATTATTATTATTATTATTATTATTATTATTATTATTATTTCATATTAGTTTTGTGCATTTTTCTTCTTTTTCTCTTCCCTGTCGTCTCCTCCTTCCTAGTCACACCTGCAAAAACTCCTCAAAATCTACAACTATTGGGAGTGCTCGAAGCATCAAACTATAATTAAGTTCAAATATGTTCAAGATAACATTTTCCATCGAATATGTGAATACAATAATAATTTAATGACCGAATCTACAATATGAGCCGGATTAAAGAATTAGAGGATTAATTTTTATATCAACTAGTATATAATTAAACACTAACAGATACTATATCTTAAACTCATAAATAAATATAGGAGTTGAGGAGTGAAGCTGACATTGAGGTGGCTCTAGCCTCATTGACAAGTCAATTCAGAATTCACTCACCTCAGCAACCAACAATTCTTTAATGAGTATCTGAAAGTGACTTAACCTGGTAGTACCCTTCTTTCCCATAACTAAGCCGTGGAATTGCAATTCCATGGTTGGAGTGAATTGTAATTCCGTGGAATTGCAACTTCATAGAGAGTTTGGTAGGACTGCAATTGCAATTCCATCCTACCAAACACCCCATGAATTTAGCTCACTCACAATTTCATCTTTTGCACTCATATTCAACTTTCACCCATCAAAAACCCCAACTTAATTTCAACAAATCAATAACTCACAATAAGTTGAATGGCGTTGCACGGCGAGGAGCGGCCGGAAAATCCACTTTTATCACAAATGCACATCCCACCTGCAGCTGCAGTGCTTCAAATTGTAAAGCAAAACTGGCTAAAAAAGACCGGGACAAAACCGCTGTCATCTGAATTATTTGACAGATTACACTATCACAAGTGCTTTTCATCTTCCTATTTCAGATCACACATACCCACAGTGGGTCTCTCGTGAAATTTCACATCAGATTAATCATCAATAATTTCCTCGGCAGCTTTCATATTGCCCTTTGGAGTTTTCATGAAAATGATGTCCCAGTGGATATATATGGGTAAAGCAGAGAATTCAATCTGTCCCAATTAGTTTCTGTCTATTTGCAGGTAAGGAAAGTATATATTTGATCAAAAAGCTTGAGGGAGAAAAAGAATGTTGAAAATGTAAAGCTTAATATTTGATAGAACTAGACTCAATATTTGAGCCCTTGCAACTTTCTATCACAACCAAAAATTAACCTGATATTAACCCAAAAAAAAAAAAAAAAAAAAAAAAAATTTACTCTACAACATTGGTTTTATGAAAGATGCAAGACCTCACCACTGGAAATGAATCTTCTGAGCATTCAACCTCAAGCAGCACCAAAAAATCTCCAATCGTTCACTTTGAAGGTGGAAACAGCAAGTTTAAAAACCTCGGCCATTGGCATACATCCAGCTTGCGCAGCAGGAACAGCTACACCAGCTCCGACTGAGCTTGCACTTTCACTCAACGAGCTACAATCCAAAAGATTAGAGCAAGTCAAACAAACATTTGCAAGCAGGGCATCTACGAAGGGATAGATTAAACCCAGGTTGCAGATGAAGAAAGTAACCAGGCAGTAAAGGGAACTTCCTTACTTTATCACAATAGGCTCATATGCAGTGATCAGAATATCTGTAGTCACTTCCTTGAGACGCACATTTGCCAAATAGACCTGTATGACAAATATTTCGATGTCATTTTGCAGTTCACTCATTGCACCATCATGAAAAATTAACAAACTCACCTTGACCAAGTTTTGTGCCTCCCTCCCTTGCCTTCCCTTAGATATGGCCTGAGAATTAACATTATTGCTAAGATATTTGAGAGGATTTATGGTATGGAATCATAATCAACTATACAAAATATTTTACCTAAGAAATCAGTCAAGATTCTAGGACATTAACTCCTAAAATACACACAGTAATTATAGGAAATTAACAGCTCCTCTAATTGACTAGTTTCATTTCCTACACTCCCCCACAAACTAGGCAATATATGTTTATTAAACAAAGTATAGAACTTAGTTCAATGAAGTTGGATATCTGTTGCTTGCTGTCGAGAGGGTACATAGTTTAGGGAAATCACATTGCCTTCTATTTTCTCACTGATAAAGTGCCTAGCATTCCTATCAACCTCGACATGCTTTGTCCTATTGTTATAAACCAGCTTTTTGGCAATTGCAATAGCTAATGGGCTATCACACATAATTTTAATAGCCAGGGATACATTGTTCATGACTTCATGCAGAGACATACTAAAAAAATAAACAAAGAATTAGAAAAAAGACGCATACACAATTTGAAATATCTGCATCCTTTCCCCATTTTCCTTACATGCAAATAAGAAATACATACCATTTGACCAACAGCAGTAGTAATGATGGCAGGCAAGGTCTGGAAGGACAGCCCAGGAGCCTCAACCACTCCTGACTGCTCGATTAACTGCACATGCAAGTAAAAGAAGATGTGAATATCTTGTAATACCTAATTAAAACATGAAGTTAATGAGAACTAAAAGTTTAAAATTAAACAATTTAAGTAGACAAAAGCAAAATAAAATACAGTAGAAATTCATGAAATTGGGTCACACAGCTTAGATTGTTTTCTGTAAGGAATATCAAAGAACGAAGGGATACCATGCAAGGTACTAATAGAAATAAAACAAAAGCAGTTTGTCACACTAAAAAGCTATATCATCAATGGAATGCATAACCATTTTTTGTAGAATAGTCAACTTCATAGAACTCAACCTCACTCAGAAATTTGTCGAGTTATTTTGATCTTAAAACAAATAGCTTCCCAGCTCACCAAATAATTTCACATAAATGCATGAATATCTACATTCTAGAGACCATCAAAGTTGCCTACCCTGAGTACTTCTCTAGCACATATTTCAACTAAATGTTTAAGTTCCATCAAGCAAACTTCTAGGATTCTGAAAGAGAGTAGAGATTAAGAGAGTTCCATTTTTCCAACTCTCCAAATCCCTGTCTTAAATTCTCTACACTATTTATTTCCTTGAGTGAACAGAACAGGATTTCCTATGCCCCCCAACACCCCCTGGAAATGGATCTGCATCTTTCAGCAATGACCATGGACCATTGGCCAGACACGTGACACTTCACTACCCCACAATAGTAGTCATCTATCACTTGTATTTGCATTCAAAGTCCAGACATCAGAACTCTCTTAGTTCAACAAGTCATCAAAGTTCAAAAAGCCAGCTTTTAGTGTATTCTTTATTTGCCTACTACAAAAATATGGCATGCATTTGCTCAACAATTCATAGCAACAAAAACTAAGCAGTAGCTCAATTGATTATCACATGAATTCAAAAGTTAGTTGTGAAAACTGCAGCATAGAACACAACTCAACCATAAGAAAACCTGTAAACACAAAATTGAGAATTACCATGGTTCCCTCAGCGTCTTGCTCATTCGCAAGGTCCTGAAGAAACCAGGTGGCACTTCCGTTATCCGCCACATCCTGTTTCAATTCGAGGAGCTCGAAAATCAAACTCTCATCCCGCGCAGGGTCCACAAACACCTCCTATCATTCAGGACAACCAAAATTCAGATCATATTACAGTAACAATCCAAAATCAGTATAGAAACACTAACAATTAACCGGTGCTTTAAATTTAAAACCAACAGACCTGATGATCGGGAACTTGGCGCACATTACTGACGTCCTGAAATTCGAATTGAAGTATAAACAAATTACAGCTTTTAAATATCAATACTTGAACAAAAATTAAAGGCAAGCAGGTGAAATTAATGACAGGTAGGCACAGACCTGGAAGCGGACAGGGAACGTAGAAGCGATGGCGCCACCAAAGAGTGGCCGCTCCGAGTACATATCTACAGCCATTTAGCCGGAAGAAGAGAACAATCAGGGACGGAGCCTGAATTTCCTTTGAGTGGGGGCGATGAAGCGATGAATTCAAAAATATCAAATATGAATAAGATCAGATTGTTCAAATACAAAATACATTATAAATTACAATACAAGATTTATGATGTATTCTTAATAAAACACTACCCAGTCTCTAATCTTTAAAACACTACAACACTATGTTTGATACTAAGTGATTGTTTATATATCTTTATTTCTGTGGTTAGAATATAATAAGCCTTATTGCAGATAGCTGTTAAAATGTTATCTTTTATCTTCTAATCACCAATATCGCAGGTAGCTGCTAATGTTTTGAATTGAGAATCTCATTCCTTTTTCTCTTTTACTCTTTTGAACTGATCAACCTTGCAAAGGAACACCAACTGCCATTCTCATTCCTAAACAAGCATGTGTTTTACATTATTAAAAGATTTCAATGATCGAACTTAATTGCAGGCATTTAGTATAGATTCCAGTTCTGCTATACAATTCAAAATAGCCAGCGGATGCACTTCACAATTTCGCTTTCTACTCTATAATTTCACTATAGGCTAATGTTAATCTAGACTAATGTGACTGTCTCATGAATACCTCAGAATGGTGGCACCATCCCATTCCCAGTTTTCTTAAAAAATATGTAAAGGTCTTATTTATTTATTTCAATTTTCAAATACCAAGTTTTTTATTTAACCCTGTAACCAGACACATGGAAACTCATTCGAAAACAAGATTTTTCTACTCCCGGAAGCTAATACTTATCTGAATTATAGAGCACATGATTTTTTCAATATACTAATTCCTTTAGAGAGCTAAACACTGGATATTCAATTACAGACAGATACCAGATCCAAGTAATTAGGGCAACATTGGCAAAAATAATTAGGAAAATTAGAGCAAAAACATAATAAAATTTGCTGAATAAGTTCGTAACTCAACCTTTCAACATTAAAACAAAAAAAAGTTCAAAACTCAAAATTTTAGGCAAACAATTGAACAAATTAAAGATTTATAGACGGAGTCACCAACTACGAACCTAAGGCCTGAGGGTGAAGACTGAAGATGGAGCCGGGTCGAATACTACTGAAGCGGATGCCAGAAAACTGCAATCACTAAAGTGAGAAGCTCCCAGAAGATTCTTCTGTGTTGTTCACAAATACTCAGCGCCGGAACTGTGCTTAGTATCAACGCTTTTCTTTAAATACTAAAATACACAAATAACAAAACATATATATAATAGTCTTCTTTAAAAGTTATGCACCAACATGGGGTGGTGGCGCAGTTGGCTAGCGCGTAGGTCTCATAGCTTCTGAGTGATCCTGAGGTCGAGAGTTCGAGCCTCTCTCACCCCATACTTTTTTGCTACTTCCACAATGTTCTGTTTTTTCCTTCGCCGTGAAAAATAAAAGCAACAACAAAAGCTTCCGTTGCCGGGAATCGAACCCGGGTCTCTCGGGTGAGAGCCGAGTATCCTAACCAACTAGACTACAACGGATTGGTTGTTTTATTTTGTCATATTTAATATATTCTATAAGTCACATACACATGTTATATTTACTTATTTTCTAATCTAATTTAGGTATATAATTTGTGTTCATAGATAGAATTTCACAACACAAGACACATCAATTTATAACATAAGACACAATTACTAATTTGTTTTAGGTACAAAATTGCATAACGCAAAACACAAAAAAAAACTTAAAACATAAGACATACACATGCACTAGGGTCCACAGTGCTATGTAAACCCTGGTCCATGGTATAAGGATTGATAGTTTTGCACGAATGATAGATATGGTAAATAATGTATCATGTTAAAGAGTTATGAGCTAACTTCTTCCTAGAGTCAAATTTGACAGAATTCAGATTGCATCATGTTGAAGTGAGAAGATAATGGATGTTGTATTTTTTTTTTTTTTTAAATCTTACTATGAATTATTTTTTTTGACTTTATTTTCAAATGTGGCATTATGTATAAAGAGTCTCTTCATCTCTAGTCGGAGACGAAGAGTCTCTTCGTCTCTAGTCGGAGGCGAAGATAACTTCTTCGTCTCCAGCAGGAAAGATTTTTTAAAAAATTTTAAATAATAAATATTTTAAAAAATATATTTTAAATTAAAAAAAAATAAATTAAAGGTGACTTGCTAGCAACTTAGAAAATTTACAAATTAGACTAATTGTAAGAAAATAGTTAGTTTAAGGATCTAATTGTTGCTTTTTTAGGTTCAATAATCTAATTGGATTAATATGTGCGTCTTATTTGACCCTTATTCCAAAATTTTATAAAGAAAAAAGAGTGTTAAATGAGATAGAGGCATAGAGGAAAAGGAAAATTGGAGAAGAAAATGATAAGGGATGAGTGGATGGCAAAGGGCTAAGGGTGAATGGTTGCATTATAGTATTTTGTATGCAGAATTGGAGAATTGTGTGAATCAAAAAGCCATGGCCACTGTTGTAAGTGGGTGCTTCACTGCTAACCCTAACAGTATTTCTAATAACAGACCCAAAGTGAAGAATAGGTATAAAGTGGTGGGCCGCAACTCTATCTCTTTTACTTCAGTGAAATCCCAAACCAAAACCAAAAGAGCACTCCGAATCGTGATAAGAGCTTCGACGGAACCTCACGGCGGCGTGATGGCCACTGAGAAAGGCGGAATCAAGATCATCACCGACCCTCCCGAGTCCAAACTCTCTGAGTTGGGAGTCAGATCTTGGCCCAAGTAACTCCATCTCACACTCCCGCTTTTCAATTCCTTCTTTAATCTTGTGTGGCTAGGTTAATTCACAGTGAATGAGTATATAAAGTTCTTGCAAAATCTGTTTAATTTCCTCAGGCAAGCCCACAACAGATTAAGAAAATGTATGCACAATCAGATTCCTTTACAACATCACATTTTAGCCGCCCACCATAACCTCTTCATTACTTGAGCATTGTTTTGTCTGCTAACCAGACCTCATAATTATACTCCTCTCTCATTTTATGTCTCTGATTAGTTTAAGATGATTGACTGAAGTTATTTTTAATTAAAATTTTCATAATATTAAATTTGCTATTAGCAAACAAAATTTATATATTTAGAAATTATTACATTAAAAGTTACTATTAAACACACAAAAAAATCAAATTTATAAACAAGTAAAAAATATTAAAAGAAAATAAACAAAAAAGAAAGAGTGGTTTGACCAATGAATAGTGAATAGTAAATATGACAAGTGAAATAGGACATATGAAGTACTATTTATTAGTGTTGCAAAAATTGCACCTAGAAATTCGGCAGAATCGCCGTTCTAGGCCTAGGCTGCCTGTCTAGGCGGGAGTTTAACTAATTTTTTCTTGCTATTTAGGCTCTGTTTGTCATATCTAGCTTATAAGCCAACTTAAAGTTGAAAGCTTAAAAGTTAGTAGCTACTAGCTTTTCTGAAAATAAACTATTACTCCGTATTTTAAGCTCTCCATGTTTTACCGAACAGAACTTATGGTTTATTTGTAGTTTAAAATACGCTATAAGTTCTAAAATAAGCTTTACCAAACATAACCTTATTCTACTTGTTTTGATTGATAGTTGATATTAATGAAATAAATGATTGCATTGAATGCAACCTTTTGTCTGGACAATAATGTATTGTGGAAGTGGATCTGATTTGGTGTTGATTCCTCGGTATGAATGAGTATATTTAGAATTTGTGTATGTTTTAATTTGAGCTAATCATGGGGCAGTTCGGTTCCATCTCAAGAATAAGTCATGGCAAGGTGTATGCAAGGACTAGTTTTTAAAGTCTGTAACTTGAAAATCCAGAACACCAAGAGAGCTTCTTTGTCAACTGCACATTTTTTGGGTTTGCGTTTTTTCATTTTGTAATTCACAGTATGATCTTTTAGAACATTATTTCTCAAGAAAATGTATGACCTCAACTATTAATATCTTGTCAAGTGACTACTTCAAAATTTCCATTCAATGTAATTTAGGTTTGATGTTACCGTAAACCATTTAATTCTTCATAAAACTATAAGTTATGCTTGGACTGTCAATAAAAGCTCTAGAGAAAACCTTTGTGATGAAAATTCTCTGTTTGCCTGCATGTTAGATTCTTGCCCGAACTAGCTAGGTTTAAGTGTTTAACGTGTGAACTGTGAAATGTTGCGGATGAACTTTAGCATAGTGAGGCCAGAGCTAGCATGTATGATTTGCATGATTACTCATTTGTTTAGATACAATATGAATTTCCCAATCAATAACTCTTGGTGATGCATTTTTATTTTGAAGTTGTGCCGTCTATCTCATTTTATTGTTACTCAAGGTTAGGAAGGAAAGTTTTGTGAGCCCAATAATGCATTTTGGCTATGTTTGGTAGAGCTTATATCTTATTAAGCTACAAATAAGCTATAATTTTTGTTAAAATAATAGCTTATTTTGAAACCATACTTTAAATATAGTTTGAAAATAAGCTTGTAGCGACTAGCTTTTAAGCTTTGATCTTTAAACTAGCTTATAAGCTAGGTATGTCAAACAGAGCCTTTGTGTAGTTGGAGCACTAAGTTATACGTATGTATAGGTGGGGATGCCCTCCGAGCAAATTCCCGTGGACATACTCTTCCAAGGAGACGTGCTATTTGCTGAAGGGGAAGGTGAAAGTGTACCCAGACGGATCAAATGAAGCTGTTGAAATTGGGGCGGGCGACTTGGTCGAGTTCCCAAAGGGCATGAGCTGCACTTGGGATGTATCTGAAGAGGTTGACAAGCATTATAACTTCGAATGAACCTTTAGGTATTATCCCTCCCTCTCTACAAACGGGATTATTATTATTATTTCGTGTAATAAACACTTCACTTGGTATGATAATGAATCCAGTTTGAATTTCTGAATCCCTAAGAATTGTGGTTGGATTAGGTTTCTCTGGCAAAAGAGAAGCTGTTTCTTGCACAAATTTGTCCAGCTTGATTTGCCATTATCAATGGATTAGGCTTATACAGTTATACTATATTACTATATATGTATTATGTATACACATTTTGATAGCTGATTAGTGGCAAATTTTACTGTAGTCCATTGTGTGGACCATGCATCAGAACACATTTATATGAATAGTGAACTTTATGCATACAAATAGTGAATCTAAATTTACTAAATAGCATATTTCTAAGTAAAGAGGGGGTGTGCCGAATAAGTTCAACTATGTTCTACAAATAATGAATCAGTTTGTACATGTTCAAATAATAAACCGTATACACACTAAATCATCAAGATGTTTTCATATTATTTTGTACACATGCAAATAATGAACATTTCGTATAAAAATAATGACTATATACATAATGAATAATGTACCCTAATCCCTATACATAAAAATAATGTATTATATGCATGAGAAATCCAAATTAAAGATGGGTTGATTGGCTGAGGAATGATAGGCAAATTATGCTATGAGCACGTGTTTACTATGCATATGGTGCCCGCGAATCTATATCCATAATTTCTATATTGTAGATCCATAGTTTTTATATTATAGATCCATAATTTTCTAGACTCTCAGTGAGCTAAAATTATGAATCTCGAGTATAAATTTTAGCTCACCGAGAGTTTCGAAATTATGGATATACAGTATTGAAATTATGGATGTACAGTATAGAAATTATGGATATAGATTCGTGGTTAGAAATTATGAATTTAAAGTATAAATTTTACCTCACCAAGAGTCTAAGAATTATGGGTATACAATATAGAAATTATGGATATAGATTTGTGTGCACCGTGCAAGGTGAGCACGTGTTCACAGCATAACGATTGGGAATGATATCACTGGGATCTACTCGCTTGGGCATAATTTTTGCTGTAAAGTTTTGAACCTTGATCTCTTCTCCTAAATATAAATATTGCCTACTGAATTAATGAGTTAAGCCCGTGCTGTCACACTTGTCTTCACTCATAACATTCACTCATAACATCAAACCAGACGACGAAAGCCCAGGGTAACATGCTAATATCACATTTTCTGACCATACTAATGATGTGATGAAAATTTGCAAAGTCAAGTACAACTAACACCCATGCTTAAATTACTCTTATCTTTTTCCTGTTCTTGGAGATTACACTTTGTCTCACTCAAGAAAAATTATTCTTGTGCTAAAATATCCATACAA